GGGAATCAGTGCTTATGCGACAGTCTGTGTGGAAGTCGACGTAGTCACCGTGATTTCACCCATCGATTTGTGGACTGCCGTTTCGAGGCATCGAGTTTGACATTTTTGGATGTCGCCATCTTGGCTTTTTGCGATCAGAAGTGACAGGAGAGGGTGGAGCTAAGCACAACCGAACGCCATTTTTAGGCCACCAAAAATGTCAATTGTTTTTTTACAGTTTGAAAACACACTCTGAAATGGTTACAGTTGTAACCTGAAGACATGGACGACTCCCAGACCGGACAACGCAATGTTAGCAGCCTGTCAATCACAAGGTAGCCACGTCCTAAAGCATGCTCTGCTTTATGCTCTATTTGACTCTAAATGGAACCAAACTTTTTTAGTAAACATCAATATTTACTGAGGTAATAAATCAAGTGAGAAGTTGGGTAATTTTCTTATAGACTTCTTTACAATCAGACTTCTTTTTGCAACCAGAGGAGTCGCCCCCTGCTGGCCATTAGAAAGAATACAGGTTTAAGGCACTTCAGAATTGGTTTCGCTTCTCAGACCTGAAGGTTGCTGCCTGGCTATCGTCAGCAAGTGAGGCTCCATTGCATTCAGTGTTTCTGCTAATGTGTCCAAAAACAATTTCATCCTTTTTTCAAAAGACAGAAAATTAGGCATAATAGTTGCATTTTAGATTATATTACCTTGCACAAAAAGTGTGGAGAATTTAAACATCAGGTTATTGCATTTTCACTGGTGTTTTTTTTCATTACGTGTTTTTCTGTGCCGTTATTGATCTGTGCTGATTATCTCGTTCGTCATATTTCATTGTAACTTGAAAACAGGCCGTGGAGGAAAGCTCACTTTTTTAAGGGGATTAGTCATCAAACTCTGACTGTCCTGTCCAACGTGCATGTCTTGCGGCTCCTGCATGTGGGCTGGTGTTTTCACAATGTGACAGAGTGCTGGATCTCTAACGGGGAGCTGCTAAATGTCATTTTTGTCGCCTCGCAGATGCCACTGTAACGAGGGGAAATAGATTACATTTTTGTGAACATTTTAATCGGCAACCATCTGTGGCTGACAAATATTTGAACCGGTAAACACTGCCAGTGTAAAAACTTCACTTCACTGAAACTCTGAAAAGAACTGAACCGATATAGCGTATTTCATATCCGCGGGAAAAAATAGTTGTTGAAATCTTGTTGTTATATTGAGAGCCGATCATCGGCCATTTCTGTGTGTCTTTACGTAGACTGATGCTAATCATTTCAGGGCTCTGCTTTTAAAAATAGCACAGTAGCACTGCATCTCTCTCTCTCTTTCTCTCTCACTCATGTGATAAAATAAGATAGAAGCCGTGCACACACAGTTCAGGATGATCCCTAGTGTGCTATGTGCAATGTGACCTCATATCTCTGCTCATGTCTGGTTCATGATATCCGCGTGGCTACTCGACATGTAGAGGCAGCAGACTGTGCCGGTTCAGCAATTCTCATGATGACTGCAAGCCTTAAATTCAAGTGCTCTTATGCAAGACCGTATTGTGTAAATTGGCTCTCCACTTGCTTCATTGCTTTCAAGTCCACGTCCCTCAAAAAGGCAAAAAGAAACACTAGAATAATGGATACTAACACTGGACCGGAAGCTGATGAATGAGCTATGTGATAACATACATAATTGCAGCTCAGCCACAGGCTACAACTTCTTTCCTTCAGTAAGTCGTGTGGTTATGTTGGTGGAGGAGGATTTAGTTAGACATTTTCATACAGGCAAACAAAGGTTTTGGGTATTTTTCTGGAAAGAAACTTGAGGAAAGTACGACTTTCACACCTGCAGTTTGGTTCATTTGGTCCGGACCAAGGGTAAAAAAAAAAAAAAAAGATTTGTTGTTGCATTTTAGTTCTGGTGCTGTTCCTGTTCACACTGACTTTTTACAAACACACCAGAAGAGTAAACATGACGTCATACAGCCCGACAGGTACCTCGTTGATTGGACGGTTTTGGCGATTGTCATCCTGCATCAAGCAAAGCACTCATGCATCAAACAAAGCACTCATGCATCAAACAAAGCACTTTTTAAAACTTTAAAATATAAATAAAGTTATTATTATTATTATCATTCGTGCATCATCGGGATCCCACATGGGGAAATCAAATCCTGGTGACTGGCAGACGTTTATGCAGCATGTTAATGCTTCTGATGTGCTTCTGTGTATTTATGTTCTTTGATTAATAACTGATTAGAAGCATTGCTAGTCTTATTAGACTTCAATTCGACCGCATGCTATGATGAATAACGGTAGAGACAGTCCCTTTGCTCCCAGACGACTTGATGAAAACACACGTGCGAATGTCGGGGGGTACACATGGACACGTGCATGAGGCGCGTTATCACTGTCACACAGTTTTTAATAGAGAACAGCGTTTGAACTATTAATCAGGAAAAATACCCGAGCCGACATGCTTATATACATTGCCTTAAATACAGATCAATTACATTGATTGCTGAACAGATTTCACGATCAGTAGATGCATTTATTTGTAGTTGAGCTGTGATTGTTGAAAATATCATATGGTGTGGTTGGTATGTTAGCTTTCAAACCTCAAAGTGAGACCCACCTTTTCAAGAGGTCTCGCTTTGGTTCTTTGGAGCCCACCAGCCATCGATTGACAGCTTTCACACCAGCACATGTAAACCGCACTAACGTGCTGCAGGGAGAGTCCCATCGAGTGCATGGTCTCTTCTCGTGACCCAATGTGAACTTTGCTGCACTCAGTTATTTTTGGCCACGCTTACCTCATTTAAACCACATGCATACTATTGTGTCCACTTTTATGTGACGCATGCACGGCACATGGGGCCTGTGTTCCAAAGTACAAAGTTAAGGTCAGGGGGCTTCCAATTTGACCCGCTGTCTCTCTCCCTTTCCTGTGTCTGTAGCTGTGCTAAAGGCAAATAAGCCCACAAAAGTTATATATAGAAATAATATTGAATATGGTTCAAAAGAAGCTGAAAAAATATAAAAAGCCACGAATATTATGTTAGTAACTTCATGCTCAAATGTTCATGATGAAATACCTTACCAGCATGAGGAACTTGTCCCACTCAGCACATCATGCAGGTACATAAATCCAGGAATACACAAAAGCTTACTTGGTAATAAGGAACCGTGTCCACGTGTGCAAGGACAGGTGGACTTAATCATAAAGATAAATATGAATGTGGGAAGTGTGCTGAGCATTCAGTTAATAACACAAACATCTGGGGCTTATTTTCCAACTCCACTGCATTAGTTGTGATACATATCTGCATAGCATCATTTAAACTGTAAACAGCCACATGCAAAATATACACGTGCACATTTGTGTTTCCACAGATATTTGACACAGAATTTGCAGATGCATTAAGAATACATTTCAGTGAGTAATCCCACACCTCGAAGGCACTCTCGGTATTGTGAGTTGGACCACTGAGAAGCAGAGGGATCGCAGACTGGAAGCTCCCGTATCTGATTTTCAATGTCCTCCGGCAAAACCTTCAAAACAAACGCTGCAGCACTCTTGGCAACAGCTATAGAGTTAGTCCAAACCTACTGTACTGTACTGTAAGTGTACCGTATTCACCGGTCAAAGTCAAAACCTCATCCCCAACTCAAGTTTCTGACTCCATCAACTCTACCATCCACAGCAGCCAAAGCACAACAATTGAAATGATTAAGCGGCGTAATACAAACATGATTTTTCCTGTGTTAACTACAGCTTGTCTGATAATATTGTCTAATTCGACCTCCCTCACACCCTCATCCATTGTTTCCTCTCCAATGGCACATATTCGCTCAAAGTTATTCCCTCAATTATCTCCTATTTCTCCCTGTGGGAGGCATTACTGTTGCTATTTTGGCAGACGCGGTTTCAATTTAATCACGTAGCGGAAGACATGAGCCAACTCATGGGTTAACTGTGGATGGGCCCCTCTGGAGCTGCAGTATGTGGGCTGTGTATGTGCTGACGTCGGGCCAATAAAGGGGCCGACGCAGACGGGTGTGCAGGATGCTTACAACAAAATTTAGAAGGATGAAGTGAAACTTCTTTGCAAACAATACATCTATTTTGTAATGGGAATGCCTTCATTGGTGGGAATGTCTTCACCTGTGCGTATTTGCTATATATGTGTGGTAGTGGAATGAAATATTACAAATAGACACGGTGGAAGTGCTTGTAAATTACAAAAGGAAGAGTGGTGAAGATGCCTGTCGTATTAAATGATATAAGTGATGATAAGCCTGAAAGGTCTTTGATTAAAAGAGAGATGTGATATTGAAAGGTGCAGGCTCATCATTCATCTCCATTTTCACATTATTAATAATATAAATAAGCAATTTATAAGACGTGACTTGATAAACTAGGAAACAATTCAGAATGAAATACTGTCAATAAATGTCTTCCCGTACGGTAATCCCTGTTGTTCTCAGCTCAGGATCAGTCTATCACATCAGTTACTGTACTACAACCGTCAAAAGAATGAAAGTGTGTGTCAACATGGAGCTATAATCTCCCACACATCGTGTTAAATAAACTTCAGGTTTGTTACTTTGGAGTCGTATTCTTTTCTCTTTTTTTCATGAGTGATTACTGCAATATCCCCATGGCTGGATTTTAATCAGATCAAATACTGCAGTCTCATAGCATAATGAAGAAAACCAACAGTACATTGTGCGCCACACTGTTTACTTTCTAATTGCAGTCCGCCCAAATCACATAAATCATGTCCGCATCCAGTGTAGATCGCTCTCACAGGGGTGGTGCTATCTGAAGGAGTTCAGGGCACAGAAGCAATCAGCAGAGCTCCACCGAGATGTGTCCATATTTAACCACCGCGCGCACACACGCCCGTTATGCAACAAGAATTTAGTCTCCATTGCATTTAATCCCCTGTAGCAACCTAATCCTGGGGCTAAGCAAACTCTTCTCCTCAAGCCTCCCTGCTGCTCTGAGAACACAGAGGACAGGAGGAAGAGGAGACGACAAAAGGAAACAAGGGGATGTTGGAGCGGCATGAAGGAGATTTCGGAGAGGTGATGGAAAAGGAGAACGTCATGGTTTCAAACATGTTGCCGACACACGGGTTGAAAGGTCAACCACAGCCAACTACAGCTGCAGGAGTCGGGATAGAAATGCAAGTCTTTACTGCTGACTGCAGATTTGCATAATAGTATCTAGTAATAATACAAATAATAACAATATTGATAACCCAGTGAAGTTAAGACAAACTCTCGTCTTTATCTGATTACTCTGTGTTTGTTGGCATGCAATCGGTGTATAGCTGGAAATATTCTTTCTTTATAATTTCAATAATAAAGTGAGAAAATCCTTTTCATTTGGCAGGTATTTATTTCAAGCAAGAGTAAAGAGTAATAGTATTTACCAGGAGGTTATGTCATATATACAGTATATACCAGTGTTTCCCAAATGACAAAATAAAAAGTTTTGGTTATTGACAAACTATCGCTAGCCAGCTCACAATAGGCCTAAGAGTGAATCTGTCCGCAAATCAACGTTCCTGGCCATTTTTACTGCCATTGCCACATCACCGTATATCATCATGGATCGGTAAAAACAGCCACTTCCAAGAGATATGTTTGATAAATGTCAACTTCGTTTTATGCATATGTTATTGAAAACATACACAGGTCATCCTGTCAACAGCAAAACGATCAGAATGTATGCGCGCCTTTCATATTAGATTCAATGTTATTAGCTACAATTATCACAACAGTACGATCATTCAGGCTCCCTCGTGTGGCTCGAAGGTGTACTGCAGATACAAATGTTACTGGATTTTGGCCATATCGCCTGGCTCTATGTAAAGGATCTGAATACTGCCACCCTTCCCTGCACATTGTATATTAGACGGCAACAAACGACACGAAGACATGAAATGTGCTGGTCCACTCACAGGTGGTACGTTTGCTGGACGGGGTAAAAATGTCTGGGCGGGAGGAAAGACGCAGTCTTCTGAAAAAAAGAGTTTCTGTAACTTCTCAAAGAGAGACCCTGGATAAGGAGGAGGAATGTCCTCCTCACTAAGCATTGCCCAAACTGGCTTTCTCTATATTCCCCAGTAGGCACCCGAACTCCGAGAGCTTTGTTTCCCCTGGGGGCTGCCAAGATATGATGGCCCAGAAGTTGGCAAATGCACCACTGGCATATATTAGCCGTATAGTGCAGCAAAAAATATGACCATTTTTGGGGTTAGTTCCTTGTTGCCCATGAATCATTTCTCTACCAAAATTGCCCACCGATATTAAACAAATGGAAAGCGTCTTTGGATTCCGTGTTATCAGGGCTGATACCAAAGGAGTGAGTCGGGGGCTCACCCTTCATATTCACTGTGAAGAATTAAATATTTCAGTTTTGCAGCCTGCGGCGGTGTTAATGTTTCAGGACACTGTTGGATCGGATCACACTACATCGCGTAGCCCTCAGTGTTCTTTCCAAAGGACATGTTTGGTCAATTTATTCAGTTCCATTTTTTTTTTTTTTTTTAAAGCATGCACCCATAATGCATTGGGACAGTGTTTATTCCACTGTTTCAGCTGGAAAACATAGTATCCCCAAAAACCGCAGTTAAAAGGGCTGTTGGTTAAGTGAATCCAAGAGGGATTTAATTACCAACCGGGATTGTTCTGCGGCTGTGTTTTGTCGATGTGAGGATCCTACCTGACATTGTCGTGGCGCTGGATGTAGATTTTGTGAAAGATCCTTTCTGGGGGCTTCAGGAAATCCTCTTTCATCTCCATAGCTACGTTCCTGGGCAACAGACTCATTAGCAGGCGCTCCTGCGTGTGTGTGTGTGTGAGTGTGTGTGTGTGTGTGTGTGTGTGTGTGGTGTGTGTGAACAGAAAGGGAGGGAGAGAGCAGATAAAGTAAGTTCAAATATACATTTATACAGTCAAACACAGCAAAGTTATCATAGGACAACGTGTTAGCAGCGATACGAAATGTGCCAGGCAGAAAGGTATGAAATCTAGCCGAAATGAATAATGTGTTGAAATGACTCGCGGCACAAGGAGGGGGTGGGGAGGGAAGGGAAAAAAACAGATGCACATCTAATTTTACCCACAGTCTCAGCAACGCACAGGTACACACGTACCTGTTTCTCGTTCTCGTCCTCCATGCGGAGTCTCTCTTCAATGCAGTTGCGAGCCTGCAGGAAGGCCTTCCTCTGGGCTCGTTCCGTCAGGATGCGCACAAACAGCCCTGACAGGTTGACACTGGTGAACAGCAACGTGTTGGCAACCAACTGCAAACGGAAGAAGACAAAATTAGGAACATTAAACATGTTGATTATAATTCTTTAGTACAGTTGTTAAAGACACGGGAAATCATCAAGAGATGTGTGTGGCTTTATATAAGAATGATCTGATTAGTATTCTGTTCGCGAGTTTGTGTGTGTGTGTGTGTGTGTGTGTGTGTGTGTGTGTGTGTGTGTGTGTGTGTGTTTGCTGCACAGTACATTCTTTTTTGAATGTATTTAGTGAAATAACTGCTTATACGCATGTAGACTTGCGTATGTGAAAGTGTGTCCCTAATTTTGAGGTCCTATAACTGGGGATTAGGTACCTCAAATGGGCCTTTGAGGAGCTTCTCACTTCCTCATAGATATTTTTATGCTTTTGCTTCGTTACCTTGTGAATCTTTTCAGATTGTTTTTATTTAGATATTTATTGTTATTTGTTAATATTATAGGTATTATTATTAATTCCACGTGTAGTTATTTACATGTATTTTTAAAGTTTTTTTGTGATTAATTACATTTAAGTGTCTTTCTTTTCTTATCTAAGGTGTGTGCAGGTTTTACACGTATAAACAAAGGACAAATAAAGGATAAAGGACAAATAAAGTTATCTTGAATAGAATAACATCACTATGATCTATCCCATTAGTAACTGTTGCATTTAAAACACACACACACACACACACACACACACACACACACACACACACACTGTGTGGCATCCTGCTATGGTGGTGGGGCCGTATATTTCTCTATTTTGGAGTCAGCAACATTAAAGCGTCTGAGAGACGGCGCTCTGGTCCATCCATCACAGCAGATGCACAGCAGCATGACTGCTTCAACCTTGTCCAGGACACGAAGAAAAGAGAGTTGTTGTTTTGTTTTTTTCTTGACTGGGTTCAGCTGGCTTTGACTTTGTCTACAAACCGAACGAGATCTACCTCCAGTGTGCACCAGCGGGCAGTGGTTGTGTATTGATACGATTAAAGGAATTCAAACTCTTCATATCTTAGGCCATTCATCATGAGTGTTTTCCACAGCATAGTTTTACCTCAAAAAAAAAAATTACAAATGACTTTACACTTCACTCGTTTAAAAAAATAAATATCTTAAAGCTTCACATGATATATCCTCAAATTTAACAAACTTCCATTGCCACAGCCAGGCTTGTTTCCCAGTCTAATGAATAATGGATCCAGTTCTTGGCAGCAGCAGTCTGTCTTTGTGCTTGGCAGCAGCGCTAGCAAACATCAACATGTTCAAACGAGGCTCAAGTTACTTCACAGCCTCCAGTAAGTAAATGTGGACGTCTGAAGTGAGTGGTGTCGAACACTCCTCTGCCTATCTGCAGTGGTAAACCCCAATAACCGACCATAATGTGCTGGACTCACTCTTACATCTGTTTCACCCGTTCACGGTTTTACACGGCGAGGAAACATCTACATTGCCGTTGATGATGTAAAACAATGATCTGTAGTATTCTATTGTGCAATAGGGCTTTCATTTCATTAGCAGGCTATCACTGCTGTGCTTAATGTTAAACAAACTCTCTGGGACTGGTTACATTGTTTATAGCAGACACTATAGTTATATGGCGTAAATGTGCTGTGGATTTAATATAACGATTGTTCAACTTTATCTTAGACATGCAAGGTTGTAAACTATAACGCCATGTGACATTTTTATACGCCCAACTCTTTGTTGCACCAATACAATGTGGCACTAAAAAAGAGTGACAGCTGAAGAGTATAGGGGACTAGTAATATCCTATTTATCAAACTCATATCCCCCGCTTGCTCCAGTAATAAGATATTTTCAGGTAGACCAAGCCACAGGCTGAGTGCCTGGGACCCAGGTGGGTGGCCGGTGCAAGCCCAGGGCCACGCGAGGTCATGCCTCACAGCTCATCTCTAAGCTTAATGGATTAGCCATCTCTGGTAGTGAAGCTAGCACCGTCCTTCACATGGCAATGCAGGTATCTCACATAGCCTACACACAGGCCGGAAAACAAGCTCCTCCGCAAACACGCTGTCATCATGCGAGGGCGTGATGAACCGATCACATCTCAATTTCACTTCCCACCAAAATGCACAATCTTCGCGCCGTATGCTACGCGGAGGAGGCAGGCGTGTTCCATAGCCACCGCCACCACCACCACCACCCCCGGAGGGGTTTGACTGATGTTACATATCTTCTCTCCTCACACCTGACAGTCAGTCAGAAGTGTGAGTATTGTGATAGGGGGGAAAAAAGAAAAATCTACAAAGATATAAACGCACAGAGAGCGGTGAACCGGTTTCTATTTCAGCTCGGAAATGACATGAATGACTGTGCCCTCTTTTTCCGTAACTGAAGTATATAGTAGTGTGTGTGTGTGTGTGTGTGTGTGTGTGTGTGTGTGTGCCCCGCTGTTTGCCCTACTTCTGGTGCTAGCAGGATGTCACTCTGATTCCTGGCCGGCTCCTTTGGGGCCTGAATCACATCCCCAGGGAAACAGTCATCGACAAGCAGACTGCTTGGCTCATTCATTTTTCTCCTCCACCCTCTCTGTTTGTTTTTCTTTTTCGGGGTCCTGCAGGTACATATGCATCACCATCACCACAGCCACGGCCCCTACAGTACACCACTATTTCTCAACCTCAGTAAATGATATGTAGACTTACTTACAGTTATGATAGTGGGAAAGTGAGCAAGCAGACATTCACAGTCTCATTTTGTGTTTGTCCACTAGATCAAGTCTTCTTCGTGGCTCAGAGGCTTAGTTGACATGAGCTACTTTTGTTTTTATCCAAAAACTACACTTATTTATGTTTTATTTTTTTTTTGCTGTTCTTAACGTTTCAGAAAAACACTTTTGTCAAATGCAATCAAAAGCCTGAGCAAACCCCATAGTGCAGCCACAGGGAGCTGTCCTCGGTGCTGAACTTGGTTTGCTGTCACCGCACGAGTCTACAACACACACGCAACATACACACAACCCACAGGCACCTAAAGCACAGCGTGTATAGCGCACACATATACGCACCGTTCTCCACATCTTCTGCGTTTTCGCCGTTACAGAAGTGGCGGTCACAATCAAATGCGAGATGGAGACCATTATTCCAAACACGACCGCCAAGAGCGTCCGCACGGGTAGGAGCGCGTAGGCGACGAAGGTGACCAGGATGAGCTGCCACACGCCCTGCTCCGGGGACGTCGGGGGCTCCATGCCCATCGCGCCCAGCGAGAAGGGGCAGCAGAGGAAGGAGAAAGTGAAGCCAAAGAGCAGCGCCAGGTTGACGATCTGCTGGAGCTGAGTCACCTGCAGGTACTTGACGTTCGTCACGATGAACAGGGAGACGAAGACGACGCAGTGGACCGGATGGGACCCCTTGGAGATGGTGAGGCTGGGGCCGGACAGCAACTCCACCACAGCCAGCGTCGAGGACAGGAAGGTGAGCACGGCCAGGGCTTTGAGGGTGGACGTCTGCTCCAGCTTCAGGTTGTAGTTCTGGAAGAGGGACTCGAGCTCCTTGCAGTCGAACTCGTCCTCGCACGCGATGGTGGTCACGGGGACGCCCGTCGGACAGTGACTTCTCTTCCGCCTGGTTTTGACTTTCTGAAACGGTATTTCCTCCATGTCAGTGCCATTCATAAACTGAATACCTGCTCACGGCTCGGGTCGAACGGAAGAGCGGATCCCACGCCGACGCAGACCGGGGGAGGGGAAGAGAGAGACGCGCACAGGACAGCCGGCTGGAGGCAGAGCGTCCCAGATAGAGCCGGAGAACTGGCCGGTGGCCGCAGACGCGCTCCACACTATCCACAGGTTGAATAGTGTTGTTCGGAGGACAGATCAGCTACCAGTGAAACCTTCATGTCCCGGCTGTATTTTCCACGCGATCTGCAAAAAAAATAATATATGTATATATTGTTTAGCAGTCGTTTGAGCGCCACATGAAGAGCAGCGCACACGACGTCTAGTTCAGATGGTTAAAGCTTCTTTCTTTTTTTTGCAAGGCTCAGATAGGATCACGCCTGCGCATTATGAGGTGAAGATAAGACAGGTCTCAGCTACTCAACACACAGTCAAGACGATGTGACTGCTGCGGCTGCATAGCGCACTAATGTGACAGAGCAGTGCACACATCATCCTGTCCTTTTCTATTCCACCTACACATGATGACATGTTTCCATCATTAAAGCCTGCGCAATTTTTTTTGCATATATTGATCCATTTATGCTCTTCCTTTTCCTGTCTCATCCACACACACACACACACACACACACACACACACACACACACACACACAAGGAGGCGAGAAAGATGCAGAATAAATACCAGTAGCCAATGCTTTCCAACCGTGATTCATGAAAATTCTCCGCGCTCACTATGGGCTGGCAACCACTGTGTTTGGTTGGCACATGCATGGGGGATGACATGCTTGCATGACATTCATCATATGATTTTTTTTGCGTTGCCAGAGAGGCAGCACCCTCACCATCAGCACCCTTTTGGCATTCAGGGGGTGGCGTCTCCTTCATTACCAGGGGAAGATTAGTCATCCGTCACAGGCTGCTGCCGTCGCCATGACCCGTCGGTGCCAGGCAGGGTGTGAGAAAGTGACAGATGGATGGCCCATGCCAAAGTCCAGCACTCCTCCGTGCAGGCAGGACACTCGCATGGCTTCTGCCCCCCTCCCTCGCTCTCTCTCTCTCTCTCTCTCTCTCTCTCTCTCTCTCTCTCTCTCTCTCTCTCTCTCTCTCAACTGTTAGTACCTCACTTCCACTGATCTGACTAACACAAGTAAAGTATTTGGCAGCCGACCAAATTTAGTGACGACAGTGCTCTACAAAAGACCATTCTTTGAGAAAAGTAAGACATTTGAACACATCTGAGTACAAAAAAAGCTCAACCGAGTCGATGCCGTTCAGACCTGAAACGATTAGTAGATTAATCGATTAGACTGTTAACAGAAAATGAATTATTCTCAAATGTGAGGATTCGCAGCTTTTATCTCTGTTTGATATGACTGCTTTTTGGACATTTAAGATGTCATTTGGGACTAACAACGACTCAAATATCATCGTTTAATCTGCAATGAAAATTATTTACGGAGCTATTTGAAATCAAACTTTTCAGAAACTCTTGCCGTCACTCTGAATAGTTTGTCGGGACACTGTTGTGTCCACAACCGGGGCCCTTGCCGTCCCCTCTCAGTCTGTCCCTGCTCCTGTCAGAGACATGTGGGACGCAGGATGTAGGAGTCTTTTACCCATGTCACTGTCTATACTGGACTTCATCAGCCGCCACACACAAACACTGTTACAGTTCGTCAGCGACAGGGAGGTGATATGCAAATGAAACAAAACAGCGTCGTCATTTGTATTCCATTGACCAGAGTGAATTAATCTGGGATTGATTTTCTGCCATCACCCTGATCAATATGTCAATATTCCTTGTGTAGCAGCTCATAAATTAATCTCAGTAATCAGCGCTTTTCTATTTTGTAAGACATCTCGCATTCCTTTGATGCAAATGTCAAACTGTGCATTCAAACAAGATGAAAATCTAACATTCAGATTGCCATTCATGTATCTGCACATGCAGGTTTGTGTTCGTTTTTATTTTATTTTTAATTTTTTCCTGCAGTTGATTGGCAGATGCTTTCTTCGCGCTGGTGTGAAGGTGTGCGGTATGTCCGCTTGACCTGTTTGTGACCAGCAACATTGGGGGGGGGGGGGGGGGGGGGGGTTGTTTTTGTTTTGAAGTAGCGAGGAGGAGAAAAAAGA